AAAAATCCATAAGATATGCCTTATGTAATTAAAATTTAAAATATTTTCTTAAAATTGTACTCAGATAGTAATCATAAAATTTAATAAATAATTTAGTATACATTTATTTAATTGAAACCCAATTTTTCAACTGGCGGCAATTATTTTAATTTTTTACTATTTTTATTTTTTACTACATACATATGTATTTACAAAATTAAAAATTTCAAACTTTCAGTAATAATAATTGAAAGTAAAAAAATAAGAAATAAATAATCATAAATTTTTTTTTTTTTTTTGAAATCTAATTAAAAAAAATATTTTCTGCAAGTGAGGCGTCTTTAATCCATTACTGTCTTCCATAAATAGTGACATCGATAATTTAAAATCCGTAAAAATATATTATTACTAAAATTAATGTGTATAGAAAGCACAGATAGTAAAGGGCTTTCCAATAAGAGGTGCTATTCCGGCAGATGTCACTTTTGAGCCTGTAAATTTTTCGACATTTGACAAGCCAAAACTACGCCAGCAATAAAAATGGAGTTATACACGCTTGAACAACGCTTTGAAATCATTAAAATTCACTACGAAAAATTTTCATCGAAAAATCAGCATTACTGATGCGACCCATTTCCATCTCGATGCATGTCAATAAGCAAAACTTTCGGATCTGGGGCTCAGAAAACCCACACTTTTTTATTGGAAAGCTCCTCTACTCTCAAGGGTTAACTGTTTGGTGCGACTTATTATTCGGTGAGGTCATTGGACCTGACTTTTTTTCAAAATGAGGCTAGAACAACAGTTACAGCGAGTGGTGGATTGGGCTATCGAGAGATGATTAATTTATTTTTTATGGTCGAAATTGGATGGTATTGATCTGGACAAGGTTGAATTTCAACAAAACGGCCTTACGTGCCATATAAGCAAAGAAACCAACGATCTTTTAAGAGAAAAGTTTCCGTACGATGTTATCTTTCGAAGAGGTGATCGCAATTGCCCACAGAGATCCTGCAATTTAACTCCTTGCGTCTTCTTCCTTTGAGGTCACGTGAAAACTGAAGTCTACGTCAACTGGTCAATCAATGTCCATTAAATACCTCAAAGATGGAATTCGAGAAGCTGTTAAAGGCATACAGAAGCCACTTTGCGTTTTGGTGTTGGAAAATTTATCTCGTTCAATGCTCTTTTTATTTGAATATCAAAATAACACCTCTTATTGGAAAACCTTGTAATGTTCAATCACTCTCAATCAACATAAAGACATTGTATTTAAAAGAAATGAAAACTTTTGATTACGACTAAAGTGCAATAAATCAAGATTGTTCACATTATAAAAAGTGTAAGCATGAGAGTCGGTTTGTATGTACATATGTATTTATATAAATAAATGTAGCTATAGGTTTTTAATAATTTTGCGCTCACAAGAGCATTGATCCCATTATTAAACTGGAGTAAAACAAAAAATGTTGCTGATATGAAAATTTGCACTGAATGCGAATAACATACATACATACATATACATATATATGTACATGCATATGCGTAATTACATGCATTTGCATGTTTGCAATCATGACACTAAAATATTGAAACTTACAGGCAGCAGCTGATCGAATGTATAGTAATCACGTGTAATTAAGACTGTACACAGATGTATGTATGTACATATGTACGTATGTAGGCAGTGTTATTAAGGACAATTATATGTACATAAACAATTAAAAATGTAAGTACATACATATGTAAAGCACAATGTAAAAGAACAATGTACACTTACATACATACATACACGCATCTCAATATACATATATACATTTTGCAAAAATGAAATAAAATTTACAAAAAAATATATATGTACATATATACACGTATCCATATGTACATACACGTATGTATGTATTTCAGTACCAATTTCTTAAAATGCAATCAACAAACAACGAACAAATGATAAGAAATCCTGCGATAAAAAAAACACGAAATTCAAGCAACAAGAAAGGTGTGCATTTTACCAACAAAGCAAGCAGGTTTGTATTGTTTGTGGCGTGTATACGGTTATGTTTGAGATGATAAAGTAAACCTTGAACTTTTTCAATGATATTCGTAGAAGTGCAATTGCCTTAGAAAGGCGTTAGCTTGTTTGTTTGTTGGCTGATTCGAGTTTTTTTTTTATAATTTTAGCGCAGATAACTGTAAAACACAAATGCTTGTAGACTGTGTAGTCTTATTTCTTCTACACCTTAATATTTTTCGCAATTATTTATATTTTTTTATTTTTTATTTTTTTTTGCATCATCGAGTTTTAATAATTTTTAAAGGATTGACAAAATATTTCTTAGTCTGTCGGCTCAAAATGACAAAAAAAAAATTCTCACCCTCCCCTTGGCATTTTTTTTAACTAGAAAAAGTAACTTCTTATTGTTGTGATGATTGGTTATCCGGCATAAGGCTAGACACAGACACAGTTCGCCGGCCCAAGAAATGAACTGAATCGACGTGTTCCGACCAGAGGGCGATGGGCCTTCGATATCCCGCCGATGTTGTAAGAGTAGGACATACAAAGAAATGATGGTGTCTTAACGAATAATCATTACATGCAGGATATACTTTAAATATGTCGGAGTTGAGTCTGAAGCAGAAGTAGGAGTAGAGTTTGCTACAGTATCCAGACCTTAATCGAAAGCTGATTGTATTCAGTTGACGCATTGAGGCAAAGGAAAGAGAGGTAATGAGAGTGTAGTCAGGCTCTTTGTGAATGGCGTTATCTCGTCCTGCCCAGCGGTCCATAAAGTCAAGTACTCCCTTACTGGAGGAACCTGGGATGTCTGCTTGAATGAACCCTGTGGTAGCTACCAACAAATACTGATTGCACAGCCTAACATTGGGCTCCTTAAATGGGACAATGTAAGCTTCACTGCTGAATTTAACGTCCAATAACTTTCTAATAAAACCGCCGTAATTTTCGACTTTCAGGTCGTGCCTTTCCTCCTTATCCAGTGAATTTCTAAGGTTCAAATTTTAGCTATCGTTCAGTGAAGAAGTGGGGGAAGAGTCGCAGAGAAATCAGTTTGCCTTTGAAGAAAAGTTATCAATATCCTTGTCAGATGCCTATTTATATCCGGGAGTCAGCTGCATAAGAAATCAAAAATACACACTCTGGTGCCAGTGTAGATTTTAGTTTTAGACATGAAGTGTCGTGGTGGTGCTGTGTACGGTGTACGGACGCCATATTGCTGTTCTTAGATGGTGGATGTCAGAGGAGAGTAGTGTTTTCACTACGGGCAAGTAGGTGGGGGTTTAAGAATTTCAACGCGGTAAGGCATGCCTACCGTAAAAAGCACTGAAATCCAAAAGTTGCCGCGACAGTCGGGTCTTTTACCTGGGACCCCACGGATATTTATCCGGCCAAGAACTGTCACTACCGCAACATTCCCCGGCACCACTTTACCCTGCTTCTACATGTTGGTGTACCCACAGCAATATTTAGGATATTGGCTAAAAAATCCTTCTCCGCTGTACCTTTTCCGTTGGGATGATGGATTGAGAGATTTTATTTTTCCGACAACTAAAAAATTTTGATTTGCTGAAATCAAGCTAGGCGCTTTGTGTTTGACAGCTTGCCCAGATGGCAGCTAACCTGCCGATCCATATTGCTAACCGAAAGGTAGACTCCAAAAGACCAAATGAAATTTCCCCTCGGCTATCGCTTTAGGTCGGATTAAACAGTCATTCGAAAGAGGTTATAGGTTATAGGTCCTTAAGGCCTTACTGGACAGCAACTAGCGGGTGAAATGTTTATATTGAATATTTCAAGCTCGACATCGCCTATCTGGACAGTTATATCCTGATATTCGAAGATAGTTTCTCTGCAGTTGCACGTTGTTGTGTAAATGAATGTTTAGTCAGCATGCATGTCTCGCTCGAAATCCTCACTATTGTGCAGTAATCCGTATATTTACAAATCTTATTCCGACGCTTTTATTTTCATAATATTTGCTGGTCTTGGTTGCTATTCCAAAAGAAGGTAAGTGTTGAAATTTATCAAGTTTCTTCGCACTTTCGATACTTCTACATAAGAAGAAGTGACATCATTAAACGCTTGTTGTTGTTATAGCGATTTAAAGTGTTAAAATAATTCACTTTTTGTACTACTGCTGCAAGCGTTGCAAAAATATTTTCTCCCAAATATAAAACTTAAAAATTTACTATAACTTGATCAGCTGAGCAATATTTACATCGATTTGTTTGATCGATGGTGATTCGATGAATTATTTTTTTCATACACACATATGTATGTATGTCTGCTGTAGTGACAAGTGCACTTTGCATATAAAGTAAATTAACATATCTTAAATTTATATACAAACAACGACAAATTATTGCCGTTATGTAGGGAGTTTTCTTTTTTGCTGCTGACGTCAAAACAAAATACACAAACACAGGTTTTACACTTGTTGTCTAAAAAGTGAATTGGAGTGAGTGTTGCAAAAATCTTCGGCATATACATACATATGTATATATCTTTAGAATAAAAACTTGTTTTTGAAAACGAAAACATTTTTCGAAAGGAATATGCATATAAATAAGCATATGTATGTATGTATGTACTTATATATTTACAACGCCACCAAGAATGGTGCTTATACATACATACATACATATATGCGTGAGCGACGTTCTGCTGCATTCCCGTTTTAACCACCAACTCGAGAGCAACTGTAGCAAACTTTTAACAATTTGTTAATGTTACCTGGCCTTCTCTTTTATATACATACATACATGTATATTTGTTTGCAAATTATTGTTTAACTTTTTTATTTGTTTTTTTTTTTCGTTTTTTTTTTTATTTTAATTTCTCAAGGTTTTCGATTGCAAATCATCTGTTTGTGTACAAATGCATGTGTATGTAGTATATACATTCATAAATATAAATATTTGCATTTGCAGTTAGTTATTTTCAAGTTATAACTTATTCACTTGTTTTTTCGGGTTTTTCGATAGTTTTGTTTTGTTTCACTTACGAGAAATCCTGATTGAAATTTAGTTGATATCCTGAGGTAGCCATAATTCAAACTTTTCCTTCTCTCTTATTGCTGTGTTGAAGTAATTAAATCACCAAAACTGTGAATAGTTGTTAGTTGATACTTTCGTAAAGTTATTAGTTTTCACTTTTATTTAACAAATAGCTATTTTTATTTGCATGAAATCACTGCAATTGCTCTTATTTGTTGTCCTTTGTTTATTCTTCGCACTTTTCTCTACTTTTTTTCTGTATTTGAGAGTTTTGCAGTCACCACTCGGACACTTCTATTGAATTTTTTTTATTTCGTTTCAGTTCGTTAGTTCTTTGTTATGTATTTCTAGTAAGACTTTGTCGGGTGTGTTATTTATTTTACACTATTGCGTTTTACACGAAATATTAGTAACTTCTTCGCTACGGGAATGTACAAACGCTTTGTGCAAAATGATTTTATTTTCTGATGCTCTGCTTTTGTTTGGCGTTCGATTATTCGACACTTCTTTTCACTTAAGTTTCTTAATTTACACTTTTGCTTTTGTTTTCATTTGTTTTTTTCTTTTTTTTTTTAATTGTTATTGGAAAAATTGTACATAAAGTGGTTGGCAACTAGAGCGGTTGGCATTGCCAACCATGTATATTACGCTTGATTTATTGTGGCTAAAATACCAAAGAACGTAGACGGGGACGTATACGTATTTACGTTCTCTGCAGATACCGTTAAGTACAATATGTTCTAGAGCGGGATGTTTTTCCAACAGATGGAGGGACCTACAGCTTATGCTAATGCTGGAACTACCCATCTGACATAGCTCACAGTTGCAAAATCCGTCTGGAAGAGAATATTTATACACGAGTATTTCCAGTGGGACCATCGCTTGACCAAAAAAAAATTTGAATTCATATACGTTCTTTGGCTTGACATTGACTGTCAAAGAGCGAATACAATTAGAAAAAATTAAGTTATTTTTTAGTTAAATTACATCCCTAAAGTTCTTGGTTGTTGTTCGGATTAGGATTCGAAGCTTGGCCTACCAAATGGCAGTACGCACTGCTAACATATGAGTTGTCGCAGCCATAAATTCTTGAGAAATTTTCAGAGTTGGGTTCGAGCTATCGGCAGGGATATATGAGAAAGTGGTCAATATAGCAGTGAGCCGGTTACAAAGCAAACCCGTTGTTGGCAGCACCACTGAAAAGTGAAGTTTTATAGTCGTTGAATATGTGAACACAATCAATTTTACATTCATTTTCTTATATTTTCTCATATTTTAAACAAATTTACATATTTCTATTGCAAAATTTCTTTTTCAAGAGAGATTTCTGCCTGTTAGCGGTCTAAGTGCGGTGAAGTTTCTTTTAAATTCCCTCTACTTCGATGAATAAAAGAACGAAAAGGCTTAATAGATGGCAGGTAGTGGTTTTTCCCGTTTCTTACTTTTTATCAAAAATTGTACTAGTCAAAATTTTTTTTATTTGTATTTCATTGTTCGCCTTCACTGTATTTGACGGTGGATTTGATGTCACCTTTTGACAGTTTCTTATATGGAAAACTGTCACTTTACGAATAGTGGCCAACTTCAAGTGACATTTGGTTTCTTTCCGGTTGAATTTTTGACAGATCAACAACTTAAAAATGGTACGAGCTAAATAAATCCAATTAAATAAATATAATCTGGAATTTAAGTGAGAAATATTAAGTTTCATAGTACTGTTTACAGTTTGGTTTGTGCCATATTTTAAAAATTAATGTGATTTTTGATTGCGTTGGTGCATTATTTGAAGTGTTTACGTACACTAGGGTGCTATGACTTGATACAGTGTTTAACGCAATGTCTTTTTTCTTTCTCAGGCCAAACGCACCAAGAAGGTTGGAATCGTTGGTAAATATGGTACCCGTTATGGTGCCTCCCTACGTAAAATGGTCAAGAAAATGGAAGTGACCCAGCACTCCAAATACACTTGCACCTTCTGCGGCAAGGTATGTTTGGATGAATGTTTGTTATTGTTGGTCTTTTTCTAATTGCTTAACTACAATTTTCTTTTTTCATATTACAGGACTCGATGAAGCGCGCTTGCGTTGGTATCTGGTCTTGCAAACGCTGCAAGCGTGTGGTTGCCGGTGGCGCCTGGGTATATTCTACCACCGCAGCTGCCTCCGTGCGCTCGGCTGTTCGTCGTTTGCGTGAAACCAAGGAACAGTAAGTTCCGCAAAACAAATTGAGCTGGAACGTTTTCAGTTCTTTATGTTTTAAGTATGTTTAATTTACTGTGAAATTTGGCGCGGTTTGCGCTATACCAGATTTATTATTTGGTGTATGTGTTGTTTGGCCGCCGGCTTACGGACACGCTTGTTGTACAAGAAATAATAGGAAGAAAATAAATTAATTTTTTAAACAAAAATTAAAATCAACAAGAAGATGTGTTGTGATTTGTGTTTGTGGAAGATGATAAGTGAGTAAAAAAAATACAGGTGTATTCAATTCATTAAATTGGAATATCGGGATGCATTAACTATAGCAAATCGGAAAAATTATTTCTTTAAATAGCAACGCTGTGTACTTGGAACTCAAATAAGCAAGCTGGTAATTCTGTTAAACCTTCCAGTCTTCATTTTTGATACCTGGTGCAATGTGTGGTTTTGCAATAGTAAACAGCCTGAATGGACAACGGTTGAATTTTGTTTGAAAAAAGATTCTTGGTAGAATTAGATGTATGTAGAATGAAGTCTAATTTCATAAAACTTATGCAACTGTGTGTAGGGCTCTCCATCTATATTTAGGCGTTTGCAGTTTGTTGGTCGTTTGGTTTAAAAAACTTGCATATTTTCAGGCGCGCCCTGTCAAAGTTATATTAAACAACTTGGTTTTTATTATTATTACTATTTTCATTTATTCGTTTGAAAAGTTCTTTTAAAATTCTTCAGCCTAAATGTTAAAATACAAATGTGTGGCTCTTATTAAATACTTGTTTTATATATGTAAAATAATATTATTTTATCTGCTGACAAATGCAAGTAAATGGATAAGAGGAAGAAAATGGACAGTAGTTGGACTGATTAAAGGAAGGAAATAGCTTATAAAGATGGTTTGTCAATAGTTTCTATAGCTAAATATAAATTGATATGGGGTAGTTGAAAGGAGCATAACTGTTGTTTAATATAAAATATGAAATTGATATAATAAATTGATAAGAGTCAAAAACGCTTTCAGTTTATTTTGTCTTCGAAGTGGGATTTTTATAAAAAAATTTGAATTAAATAGTGAAATAAAAATATTTTTTAGCTCGTTTTTTTTTTAATTTATAATTTAATTTATAGCTATAAAAAATACAAATTTTAAACATTATTTTACAATACAAATTTATGTCAATATTAATTTTGTTAGTCCTGCGACTTGTTTTGAATTTTTTATTTTTTACTTTTCTTTGAAATATTTGAAATATATAATCATATGTACTTGCAGATCACTTAAATTGTTTAATAATAATAGTATTATATTTTCTTTTAATATCTATATATATATACAATCGTTTTTTTTATTTATGTATGTATATAAATTTAAATGAATTCTATTCTTTTATGGAACAAGTCTTATAGCTCTTTAGCTATAATTTTTTTTTATTAATTTTCCTTGTGACTTTTCATACATTTTCTTATGATATAAATTTATTTATGATTATGATTAGTTACGAATTGAGAGATGCAAACATTCTTTATTATATGTATATGTGTTTATGTATTTCATTTATCTCTTCCAACTACTTATATATGTAGGAACAGTTTATATATGTGTTATTAAAAAACAAAACAAAAAAAAAAAATTAAATAAAAATATAAAAATATTTAACACTTGAAACGCGGAAAATATTTAAATAAGAGAAAAATTTATTAAAAAATAATTTATTTGCCAAAAGGTTAATTTAATATTTAAATTCATTAAAATCTTGATTTCGACGTAAACTTTTTTTTCAACTCATATAAATAATAAAAATGCGTTTTGCAAAATTATAACAACAATTATAATAGTAATAGATAAATGAGCTCTTTCTTTTAATTAGTTTACATTAAAAATTATGCGACAGTCTTAGAAAAAACGCTAGTTTTAAACTAAGTTTAACAATTTTTGTTGTATTACAAACTTTCGCTCTTTCATACTTTCAACTTAAAAACTGCTATGTCATTAGCATCTTTTTCACTACATAGATAATAATTTATGATATGCCCTTAGTATTTTTTTTTACATTTTTTTTGTGATATTTTTTTTTTATTAATAATTTTATTTATTTGTGATTTTAATTTTTTAGCATTTTCTTCGTAATCGTACATTTTCGAATTTTGAAATTATTTGATATTTAGTGCTATTTGTGTTTTTAATTTTCTTATTGTGTTAAATATATTTTAGGCCAAAGAAATTATACTTTTATAGTGTTGAAATAAATTTTTTACACAGATATGTAAGAAAATGTGACGAGAATGGTTTGTGGTTATAAATTTTTGAAATATTTTTTTTTTTAATAAATTTTAATTATTACTTTTTTTAAATTAAAATAAAATAAAATCATAACTGGCGTGGCCTACAATATGTCTATATATATTTTTTTCATACCAAATTTATGGTAATATTGTATTAAATTTGTTTTAACACTACACTTAAGCTATTACAAATTTATTAATGCTAAAAAATCTTTTTGATTTTTGAATGAAAGAAATTTGAAACTTCTTTGCAAAACCAATAAAATAATATAGAAAAATTAACTTTAAAATGTTTACAACCAACTTTTTTGCGGCATGCGCGTTAAATTTTTATTTAAAACAACAGTAAATAGAAAATTTGGAATTGAAATATTGAAATTACCGAAACGGTTGTTTCAGGAAAACGCGAAAAATTTTTATTATTAAAATAACTAAAAATCAAAAAAAAAATGCTAATAAAATATTTTTATTAAAAAAATAATTAAAAATCCATTTTGAGATAAACATTTAATTTTTGTTTAAAATAAAAATTTATTTTTTGTTTTAGTTAAATTTTTATTTCAAAGAAAAATTAATTATAGAAATAACTAAAAATAAAATGCTCATAAAATATTTTTATTAAAAAAAATAATTAAAAATCCATTTTGTAGTTTTTTTAAAATAAAAATTTAATTTTTGTTTGAAATAAAAATCTATTTTTTGTTTTACTTAAATTTTTATTTAAAAAAAATTGAATTTATTTTTAGTTTTAATTAAATTTTTATAGCAAACAATAATTATATTTTTATTTCAAACAAAAGTTAAAATTTTATTTCAAATAATAAATAAATAAAAATTTAATTTTTATTTCAGATAATAAATAAATAAATATTTAATTTTTGTTTGAAATAAAAATTTGTTTTTTCTATTAATTTTTATTTTAAATAAAAATTTAATTTTTGATTTAAATAAAAATTTAATTTTTGTTTCAAATAAAAATTTAAATTTTGCCTTGCCAACATGTTAGATACATATTAATTAAATATAAAAAAAAACAGCGAAATAGTTAATTCAAAAATAAACAAATTAAACAAATAAGATAGTGAAAAGTGCGTGTTCATAAAAAAATGAAAAAGTAAAAAATCTACGAAATTTATATGTACTCATATATATATGTACATATCTTGTTTTCAATGTTTTATGACACATTTTTGGTTTAAATGTTTATAATACAAAATTTTAATATTTTTTTTTTCGATATTTTTATAAAAAAAAACAACTTGCAAGTGTACTATTTGTAAATGCCAATGGGTTGGTACGAACATTTTGAATTTTTTAAAATTATATTTTTATATTTTTAATACTTGGACTAATTTTTTTTTAAACGCTAGTTTTCAGCTTAAGCTTAAATAATTAGACTTTATTTGTCTACATATACCGTAAACTTAGGTTAAGTGAAACATAATTGCAATAATTTAAACACTATTTCTTACTTTACATATTACTTACATAGAAGAAACGGTTGTTTTTTTTTTTTGTTTTTGCAATTTCTAAATTTTTTCCATACAATTTTCATAACACAAAAATTGCTGTTGCTGCTAACTTTTCTTTTGGAATGGACGTTTGTAAATATTTTTTCCCCCGCTTTTCTGGATATAAACAACAACAGCAATAACAAAACAGCGCTTTTTTGTATACAAAACTTAAAATTTTCAGTTTTAGAAAATATTTACAAAAAAAAAAAAAAAAAAAAAAAAAAAAAAAAAAAAAAAAAAATAAAATAAAAATGTATTTAGCACATATTTTTTTTAAACACACATTTTTAAGCACACATACAAAGCTAACAAACTATTGTATGCATGTTTGTTTGTGTTTGTAATATTTTATTTCTGCATGTTTACACCGTACTTATGTAGTATGTACATATGTATGTATATTTGTGTTTATACTATTTTTTCGCTTTATTCATAGGGAAGACTTTACAAAGATAATCAATTACTTTGTTGTTGCACATATTTAACTATACTATGTATTAATGTATGCTGTTTATCCATACATATATGTATGTACATATGTATTTGTTTGAATTTTTCTTTTTTTAAATCTGTCATTTTTTTTTAATATTTTTTTATCATTTTATACGCAAAAATTAAAAAGAAAATTAATCTAATTTTACAAAATAGTCACACAACGCTTAATATACATATGTATACGTATAATAGCGTGAACATAATATTTTAATAGTATAAAAAATGTAGGTATATACAAATGTGCATACCTTTTCTTTTTAATATATATTTATGTATATATGTAATTAGTTGACAGTTACATTATCAGCAAATGTTAGTGTGAAACAATAAAAAAGAGTTGACTAACATGTAAAAAAAAGAGCTTAAAATTTTATTTTATGCATATACACTTACATATATTTAAACGTACGCACGCATGCATGCATGTATGTATGTATGTATGTATATGTACATACGTAGGTATGTATGTATGTATGTATGTATATGAAACTATCTATCTAACTAATTGTAAATATCATGATTAGAAACAACAACAACTAATGTGCTTGCCACTTAAATTTCGATTCCATTAACCATTGCTGACCCTTCGTATAATCACAAGGACGTAACAGCGGCGTCACAGGATCACTACGTGACGGACGTTGCAAACAATTGCCAGTGTTGGTGTGTCGTATCGTTTTATCCTAATTGAGAGGGAGTGGAGAATAAAAGAGTAGCATTAATAAAATATCATTTATATATATATATGTATGTAAGTATGTATGTAAGAGGTGTGTTCAAAAAATAACGCAAATTTTTGTTTTTAGCAAAATATTTATTTCTTCGTTGTTGTTGTTGTAACCGCGAAAGTGTTTTTTAAGGGAATTTTATGCTAGTGTCGGCCCTTGGTAGTATTCATATCTGGATCGTTTCGGTTCGCAGGAACTATAGAGATTTTAGTGAATTTTTTTCACAAGCGCAAACCCTGCTTAAACGCTTAACAAGCCGAGTTCAGAACACCGCCAATGGAAAATACCACGTATAGGCCTGAAACCTACATATTTCTTGCCTGACTACCCTCTTCACCGGCTAGACGAAGATGTACAGGCTCGAAGTGGATGTGAAAGTCGACGGCATCTAATTTCCGATTATTAACAACCCAAAGTTATTGGGAATCACATTCGACAGCCTGTACACATTCGCTCTGCATACAACCAAAATTGTCGCAAAACTCCAGAGCCGCAACAAAATTCTCAAAGCGTTAGCCGAAAACATTTAGGGAAAATAAATTGAGAGTAACTAACAAAGCAATTGGCCGATCGGTCGTAAACTATGCTGTCCGATCTGGTCACCTTGGACTTAGAAGTTGCAAGCCTGCTAAAACACCGTCATGTCGCCAGAGCATCACTTGCACAGCGAAGCATCTAGTATGTTACGAGTTAAGGAGCATAATGCAATGCAATTTCTGCTGGGATGTCATCGAAGGGACAGACAAGCACTGAACGCCATTCACCACGAGTCAGTTAACACTTTCAAATACTCCCTCCCTGTGAATGGCGTCCTCGGAGTTAAATCGAAACCCATAGCAGACGAAGAGCTCCAGCTGTCTCGAGAGACCCGCGTATTACTAGCGCAACTTACTTCTGGATATTGTAGCAGGTTAAACTTCAACTTATCCTGACTGGACCCTAACATACCCAACATATGTCCTGCATGCAACGAGACTCCGTATGCCACTAACTACCTGTTTACATGCTCCCTAAAACCAACTAATCCAACCCCCTTCTACCGATGGTCCGAACAGCTCGTTAGATGACCTCGGTGACTTAGACTAACTAGCCTGTCCCTAAGCGGGGTAGAGCAATCGCTGCAACAACAACAAAAAACAATTCTTGCTCCATCAGATCTTCTTAACGGAGAGACCCCGGCTCATCCTCTGCTCCCAGCGGTGGGTATAGTAGCGAAAACTTTCAAAACTGGAGTATTCTTATACATCTGGACCACATGCTCTAGCTATCGTAGCCACCGTCGCTTTATATTATATCTCGGCTGCGGCATTTGCAGAACACCATAAATCTTACGCAAAACCTTTTTCTCAAAAACTCCCAACCGTGACTAATCAGTTGTTGTCATCATGCACGCCTCCGCACCATTCAAGCAAAACGGGAATGGTGGGCGATTTGTAGAGTTTGGTCTTTGTTCGTCGAGAGAGGACTTTACTATGCAGAACAGAATTTGCTACTACATTTTTTATGCCCAAACGGACAGGATCCATTCGATAAGCCAACATCATCAGCGACTTCTCTAAGTGCTATAAGGCGATCATTCATAACCAATTCCTTCACATTTACCACGTTTTTCGCGGTTGTTGGTGTGCTGGTGCGTCCAAGGAGTTTGTCGTCAACGTTTTCATGGTCTGCTTAGAAACGTTTATACCACTCGCAAACTTTTACATTTTCCATAGCATAGTTGACATTTCATAAATTTTGTTACATTTTATTTCATTTTTTATGCAAAATTTGGTAGAACTCCTTGATTCCTTTGAGTGTGGTCCTTTCGGCAGGGGTATCAAGCCCCCAAAAAGCACTTCAGCGGTATATATGTATTGTGTTTTTTCAAAACTTTTCAAAAATTATTTATTTATTCATGAATATCTATTTTGTCCCCTTCAAAGTAATCCCCATGAGATATTATACACTTGTGCCAACGGTTTTTCCAATCTTCGAAGCACTTCGAAAAATCATTTTTTTTTATCTTATTCAGCTCCTCCTTCGATGCCTTCTTTATCTCGTCAATCGTAGCGTAACGTCGTCCTTTCATGGGTTGCCTCGTTCCACGGTAGCTTCTCCGTATGCCACAGTCAACATTCGGAATGCATCCGCGCACTTAATTCCGTTTTTCACACAAAATTTGATATAGGTTCTTTGATCCATTTTTTTGAATAGGTAAAAATCGAAGACCGTCCAAAACACGTGCAAGCAAAGCAGCTGTCAACAATTAAGTGAACATTCAAATTGGTCGGCCTTGTCGGCATAAGTGACAGACATGAGTACCAAAATAACGCCACAAAAAAATCGAAATTCGATTATACGTAACCCGCGAAAATTTAAAATTCGCGATACTTTTTGAACACACCTCGTATATAGCAATTTTTACACCCTCCATAAATTAAAGTTGAAATTTCTATAAAAATTATTTTGTACACCATTCTCACCTCAGCATCATAAACCCATTCCTGATTGCCACCCATATTGTGACAACGCACCATATTCACCGGACCCATCGCATTCGATGCATCCAAGCAGAGATCATCGGACATGATCTGATGCCGTTTTGTATAGGAGAAAACTTGATTGCCACCCAAGCCATGGCAATAGCTGACGCCTATCTTTTCGCCATATTTCCGACCCATTGTGTCCAAGCAGGTCTCCGTTTCGGCATTGCGTATCTGCGAAATTAAAAAAAAATTAAATTTTATTATTAAAATTAATAAAAATTAAAATATGTATTAAATTTTTTCCTCTTACCTCGCCCAAGTAGTAATAGTCTAATGGCATTAAACTTTCCGGATAAATATTCTCCAAATACCAACGGAAACTCTTACATTGCAAGCGCTCGCGGAGCGCACGACGATCGCTCACATCGCCAGCGACAGCTTTGCGTGCACCTGCTTATGGTTTTTTGTTTGTTTTTTTTGGGGGTTTTTGTAAAATATAGAAAAATTAAAATTTTTTATTAAAAACAATTTTTTTTTTATTAATTTCAATAAAGAAAGTGAGTGGGTAAGTAAGGAAATAGAGAAATGGGAAAAATGTTTGTATGTGAATGGATGTGTGCTATATATAGTGTGTATTGATATGAGTGCTTGGGCTATATGAGAAATGTGTTTTTAGTACTTACAATTAGTATTGGATTAGGTGCAGCGTGTACGAGTGTCAAGCGCAAAAATAATGCTTACTACCTTTTTTTTATGGACACGTGCGTGTGTTTGTGTAATGTGCGTCTTGTATAAGTGTGTAACATTCATATCTACTTTTATGCTTTAAACTAATTATAAATAATTTTAAATATTAAATTTTAGAATTAAAAAAAAAAAATTTTTATATATATATAGTACATAACCTCAGACTTACATATATTATTTACATATTTTTAAGAAATAAAACTAATTTTAAATTGGCGTATTCCAAAATGGCGCCAGTGTTGCAAAGCACAACATTTTTTTTTAATTATAAATAGTACTGTTCGGCGAGTAGATAAGAAGTCACAATTTTTACTAAACTCTACTGAATTGTGTTCGATGAACCAAAAACCAGTTAAATTAGTTTTGAGAGAGCGCAATTTTGATGTTTAGTTTGGAGTGAGAGAAAGTTGCAAATTCATGCGGGGAAAATATCAGCTAGTAAAAACTAACAAGTTAGAAAAACAGCTGATTTGTGATCAACTGATTGAATTTTAACAAACCAAAACTGATTTACAATTAAAATAATATTAACACTTTAATATGACTGATACACTAGCGCAATAAGTGCACAAATGCAATTTTATTAAAATAAATTTAATAACATCATTATATATGTAGAATGTGGTGGCAGAGGAGTGGAATCAACGCCCCCATACCCCCGAACCCACGTTAATGAATTAGAAGTTGGATATGTTGAAGCCAAAAAATATTAGTATTTTTTGTACAATGCAAGTTGATTTTGGATTTCTATAATTTATTAGAAAACAGTGGCGACCAAAGAAGCCGCAAAACAATGCGAATCAAGGTATACCACGCAATATTACAGGCCTATTCTGTCGAGGTAACAAAATTTACTTTGGTATTAAAATTTACCTTTCAGTAAATTTTGTTACCATTTCGTATTCTGAGTTCACTGTCACCCTGTAAATTTTGTTACCAGCGAAATAACCAAAAATCGACGTTTCATTTTGTGCTGTTAGTTTGAGAAAAAATAAAAGCTAAAATGGGTAGGCATATTTTAGGCCTGGAATTCATTGAAGATGAAGATAAAGGTGGGAAAAGGCGTATGCTAAGAAGTTTGCGACAGACAAATGACTCTTTTAATTTGGAAGATAGCGTTTTCATTCAACTTTTTTTTTGGCCCTCAGGCATATTTTCCAAAATTAGGTTCAAATATTTATGATTTATTAGACAAATAAATAAAACTTATTTATTATGCTTTTTTCTTTTTTATGTTTCTACAGGGTATCCAATAAGGATTTAAAAAATACCGATAACCAACAAATGAAATCGTTTATAGGTCTCCTATACCCTTACTTCAAAAAATTAACATGTGGCATGTTAGAAATTTCGCCAAAATAGAAGTCTGGTAATATTACAGTTGCTTGCTAAAATTTGGAAAATGTCATGGGGATAAGGATTTTCAATTCTGTAAACAAGTTTTATTTGCAGATGAAAGCAAATTTAATATATGTAGGCCAGATGGACAGTCGTATGTTTGGAGAAAACCGAATGAAGAGTTGCAAGAAAAGAATTTACCTCCGACTGTTAAAAACGGGAGTGGCTCAGTAATGGTATGGGGTTGTATGTCCGTAGCTGGTACTGGAAATATGTGTTTTATAAATGGTAATATGGACCACAAGCAATATCTGATCATTTTAAAAGAAAATTTAGTGCAAAGTGCAGAAAAGTTGGGAATTAAAGACAATTTTCAGTACTACCAAGACAACGATACCAAGCATAAAGCACTTGATGTCCGTCTATGGTTGATGTATGACTGTCCTAGAGTGCTTGAAACACCTCCTCAATCTTCCGACATTTACGTAATTGAACATCTGTGGGCTCATTTGGAAAATAAACTGAAAATGCATGCTATTAGTAATAAGAAAGATCTAGAAGTCGCTATTTTCGAAGAGTGGGGGGAAAATAAATTCTTTAACATGCAAGAAGCTAGTTGTATCTTTGTAAAGTAAAGGCTTGCCGACCAAATATTAAGAATATTTTGTTTCTCTTTAAATAATATTTTTAAATTCTATCTTATGTATATGTCCGAGTTCTGTTTTGTCATCAGTTCTGTTAAGTTGTTATGTTCATATTATTTTTATATGACCGAGTTGAATTTAGTTTCAGGTTTTGGTTGTTTTGAAAAATACACTGGAAGAATAGAAATATGGAATATATAATATTGGGTTGCCCAAAAAGTAATTGCGGATTTTTTAAAAGAAAGTAAATGCATTTTTAATAAAACTTAGAATGAACTTTAATCAAATATATAATTGCCATTTTGTTCGATAACNGCACATTTTTTCTAAAGCAAGCTAAAAGTAACAGCTGATAACTGACAGAAGAAAGAATGCAATTACAGAGTCACAAGCCGTTGAAAAAATATGTCAACGTCGACTATATGAAAAATCCGCAATTACTTTTTGGGCAACCCAATATATATTTATTTTTCTAAGCATCAGAATGCAATTCTTACACATCATGGACAATTTCGCACATTATTGCATTGAATCGACTTTTTTGAGCTATGAGCGATATGTACATTTGTACATATTTTTGTAAAATATTTGCAAAAATAATATCTAGAATCCTAAATAACATTTATAAAGATGCTCAACAACACATTATAATACCGAAATATTATAAATAAAATAGAAATAGATAAAATAAATTATTAAAATTTAAATACTTTAATGCATAACATATTTGCGCCAGTTGGCTATTACAATAATAAAATATAAATAGAATAAGGGATTAAGAATAATATATTACAATATAACAAGCCAACTGTTGCAAGGACAAGGGACACAACTTATTTTAGTAACAAGCCACAACAAGTAAAACATAAAAAACACACACAAGAAAAAACTAGAACAAGAAGAGTACAATATATATATATGTAAATAGAAGAAAATTCTCAACAAACGCATACAAATCATCATCAAACGAAAAATAGAATGTGAACTTTACAACAAGACAATAGTGAGGGATTGGGGGCTGCGAAAAGGATGCTGCAAGGCACGCATACGCATGTTTGATGGGAAAGGGGAGTGAAGAGAGCGACGCAAACAATGTACGCGGTTTACGGTTTACTTCTGATGCATGTAGTGGTGGTGGTGGTGGTGGTGGTTGTGGTGGTATGTACGGTGGAAATGTTTTGCGAAGGAGTTTTTATGTATGAAAAATAAAAAGTTTTAATAGATTTTGCTAAATTTGCATTAAATAATTATGTTATTTGTTTTAAAGGAAATTAAAAATATTTTCAGCTTAATTGCAAATTTTAGCCAAATCCAAATAAAAACAAAATTTTAAATGATACATTTCAAACGCACAAATAGAGAGACTGGGGGAAATTAAAATAGACGAACAACAACAACATAAAATAAAACATCACAAACAATATGCTAATTAATTAATTTATGCATTTTATATGTATTTAATATTCGCTAAGCAAATATGGTGCTTAAAAGGATAGACAGAGAGAGCGAGCGAGCGAGCGAGCGAGAGTAGAGAGAGCGAGGAGCTTTGTTGATGCATATTGCTTTGCTGAATATGTACTAGTAGTGCATTTTGTTGTTGTTTTTGTTATTATTATTATTATTATTATTATTAATAATTTTTTGTTTCCTCTTTTACAACCTGGATAAAAACTGTAGTAAAACTCTTTCCAATCGTCCAGCCACACTTCAACCAAACGCGCATTATTATGATTGACAATTTCCGTTGTGCCACCGGGGAAGGTGTACGGCGTCGATTTGCGAAACACGTGACCCACACGCGAACATGGCGCTATCTCGAGCACGCCGCCACACATCCAAACCTTTGTTTTTGTATATATGTAAAAGTCAACCAAGCGAATGACGTACGTATGTATGTAGGTGCGAGAGTGTGTTTAGGTTCACAGCGTAGGTGCGCATGCGTGTATGCAAAAAGTTGTTTGGTTTTTTTTTGTTTATTTTTAGGTATACATAAATAATTATGATTGTTTTTTGTTGACGGTGTTGCAGATATCGTAGAGATTATATTTTTTTTTAGCGATTTATAGTATAATTGTTTTTATGAAATTTGTTGTTTCATTTTTTTTTTTGAATGAAGTAATATTTTTGTTGTTGTTAACGTTATTAATATTAGCACCATAATTAATATGAGTATTATTAGCCAACACAAGCAATATACGTTAATTAGTTACGCATGTTGTTTTTATTATTATTTTATATACGAGTATATGTTAAGCAGTTATCATTAGAGCGAGGAGACGAGTGAGCGAGCAAGGGAAGAAAAGAGAAACAAACAATAAAATTTTATTTAGACATTTTCTTCTTAAAACAGTTACTTAAAAAAAAAAAACTAAAAATTATTACTCGTTAAAAGTACCTAAACATATATGTACATATGTAATAAATTGATAGCGGTACCTTTACTTCATTTTTCTTTCCTTATGAGTGAATATATATTATATATTGGAAGCGTGAATTACAAACAAAAAAAAAAACCAATTTCTTTTTGGTTTAAAAGCGTAGCCTATGAACTGGGCAATTCCACAGAAATTTGTTAATGATTTTTTTTACTTTTGTATATAAGGGTTGAGCTTTTTCAAAATATATATACTAAATGAAATGTATGCTTTTTGAATTCAGAAAATGTCAGAAATTAATTTATGTATCTCAGCTTGTATGGGGATTTACTAAAAACTACAACTTCGTTGTTGAAAAAAATAATAATTCTATATGCCACATATATGAAATTTTAGTCGTAGTCTGACACAAAGGAGTATGGAATGGCATTAAGTAGCTCTCAAATTATCAACAAAAAAAAAAAAACAAAAAAAAAAAAGATTAGCATTACAGATGACTAGTGACTTTTGGGTTGGCCTACATTAGCGAATAGGTGAAATCATTGGTTTCTCAAAAAAAAAAATGAGTTCCTCAAATCTACATCGCATGAAATATATGCAATTTTTTCTCAATATTACTATTAAATTATCATTAATTAGCATATTTAGCGTTACACTCGTAAATATTACCCCTAAAAATTAACCAAAACAAATAGTGAAAGAAAACATTGTATGTAAGTGTTGCTGTTTGAATGATGTGCGTGTATGTGTGTGTGTGTGTTGAGTCTTTGAAACATTCGTAAAATTATTTAACATTTATTGACCTAATTTTTGTGTATTCTCTTGCGTGTTTATTTGCTTCTTTTCTAAACTTTTTTAAGTTTAAGTTTAGGCGTCATAATTTTGTTTCCAGCAACGAAAAGGGGTAATTCAACAAATTTTAATAAAACAAAATGATTACTAATTGAAGAAAAAATAAGTTAGATATTTCATGAGTAATTTAACTTAATAATTTTAGATCTATGAAAATAAATAAAATAATTTTAATAAATAAAAATAATTTTTGATTTTCAGTGAAAAAATTTAAGAAAATTAAAATAATATAAAAATACTTTGTGAACTCATTTTTGAAAATAAATTAGATAAATAAAAATAATTTTATTAGTATTGCAAGAATTTAAAAAAAAATTAATATATATTTATTTATAATTCGAAAATAAATCAAATAATTTTAGATAAATAAAAAGTTTTTGATTCTCATTTAAAGAATTAAAAAAAATTAAATAATATATATATATATTTTTTTCGCTAACTTATATAAGGAGGGAGCAAGCCAATTAATAGTAAAAGAATTGAAGAAAAATTAAAAATAAATTAAATAATTTATGAATATCTACTATTTTGAAAAGAATTTTTTTTTTAGATAATAAAAAGCAATTTTTAATTCTTAAATGAATTGAAGAATATTAAAATAAAATAAATTAAATACTTTATGAGTTAATTTTGAAAACAAATAAAATAGTTTTAGGCAAAGTAAAATAGTATTTTATTTTCCATAAAAGCATTAAAAACGATTATTATAATATAATAAAGAATTAATTTATTTTAAATATATATCTTTTGCACTAACATAAAAAAGAGGGAAGCAAGCCAATTAATAGTAAAAAAAAGGTTCTACACACAAATCTGTGAATACACTTTATTTAGTTTCATTCGATTAATGATAATGAAATTTTATATTTCTGGTGATTTAGCAAATTAAAATAAATTTCTGAATTCCCATTATCATTTATGTACGTAATAGTGGTGTTATTATTATCCTTTTCACGACATCGATGCTTATTAAGAAAAATACAAATATGTACGTATTTTAAAAATAAAATTGAATTAAATTGAGCATGAAAAAAATTATTCAAAAATACCAATGACACGAAATTGTGTTAAAAAAGTTATTATGCGAATAAAATAGTCAGTAACAGGAAATAAAATAATTTCAAATAGTACATATAGTGTAAGTAACTATGTATATGTATGTAAAATTCATTTTCAAATTGTTAGTCAATAGTTAAGATTAATACAAGTGGCAGGTGAAATACATAAGTATACCAAATATTTTGAGTAAAAAAATTATTAGAATTTTTCTTGGAATTTTTGTTGCAATGTTGGTGTTGTTAATAGTGTCTGTAGTTGATATTATTTGTTTTAGAACAAAATGTATTTAACGAGTATTGTTGTAATTGAAGTGATAGTATTAGCAGTAAATTTGTAATAGTAAAATTTAGTTGTAAGTTTGTAGTAGTTGTAGTTTACAAAAAAAAAAAAAAGACAGTAATGTGAACAAGACACAATTTCGAACCTGAACTCATTGCATAATAAAAATCACGCCACTCATCCAACCACACTTCGGCCACACGCGCCGCATTGTGCAGCACTATTTTGGCCACACCGCCAGGGAATGTATAAGGCGATTTATCACGGAAGACATGACCCACATGGGAGCAGGGTATTATTTCTAAAATGCCGCCACATTGCCATATCTAAATAAATTGTAGTTGTTGTAGTAGCAGTTGTAGGAGTAAAATTCGATTTTTTTTTATAAAAAAAAAATAACAAAAACAATAAGAGGCAAATATGTATGTTTGCATGTTTGGCAAAAAAAAAAACATAATTCAAATTAAGTTTAAGCGCGATTTATCACTAAAATTATATGCAATTTTCCTCATCTTCGTTGTTTTACGCTTTGTTTATTTCAATCTAAAATTGTTTACTGAAAATTAAGCTTTTATATTTTATATAAAAAAAAATTAATAAATGTATCGTAAATGCATATATAGAGAAACTCTGTAGATATGCATCTTTACTTACCCGGAAGGACATTTCTAGATTTTCACCGCCCCAAATGTCCATGCCCTCATCATATGAGCCAATTTCGTAGAAATAATCTTTATCGATCGAGAATAGGCCACCGGCCATGGTGGGTGTACGTAGAGGCGCTGTGCGATCGTTGTTGCGACGCTCCATTTCACGTTGAGGAACACGATACCTGGAAGTGGGGAAAGTTTAAATGCTAAGTTAGATTTTCTTATTTTCTAAGCAGTGAATTTTGTAAGTAAAATGTTGATGTCGAGTGCGAAATAAAACGTATAATCAGAGTTTTCAGCTTGAATATTTCTTTCAGGTTAGATGGATAAAGAATTGAAATACAAAATCTTAACTTGTTTTTTTTAATTATTTAAATTTTCAAAAATAATGGCACTTTTTGGAACTTATTAAATGTAATAAAATTCGAAGCTAAAATTTGAAATTTACTGATTGAATATATTACTGTTATTATTAAATTTACTAGAAGGATAGTTTTTTTATTATTGTTGTTGTTTATTATTATTAGTCTAATTTATTGTTATTGTTGTTGTAACTATTTTTTTTTCAAAATTTTTTAATTAATCAATAAAACAAAAAGTACAAAAAAATTTAAAAAATTTGTAGTCATTTTTTTTTTATAAATATTTAAGTTTTCAACAATGCAATTTTTCCACATTTTTTACCTGTTAAAATTCGCAGCGCAAAATGTAAAATTTGGTGAAAGAGTAGATTAGTATTGTTTTGTCGATAATTTCTTTTTCAAAGTACTTAATTTTATCAACAACGAAAAAAAAAACAGTTTTAAGGTGTAAATAAAATTTTATGGAAGGCTAGTTTTTATTATTGTTGTTGTATATAACTTTTATTTTTATATTAATAAAATTTTATTAATGTCAAACTTTTAATTAACTAGAAGTCTAGTTTTTTATTGTTGTTGTACATCATTTTTATTGTTTTTTTTTTTTAAATTTTATTGTGCTTTTTTCACATTTTCGAAGTGTAAAAAATGTACGTTCCTTCCTAAAATACTAGATTATTGGTATTGTTGTTGTATTCAACTTAAACTAAATTTAAAATTCACTGAACTGCAGATTATTCACGGTTTTTGTTACTATTAATTCAATTACTCCATTTTATTTCAAATTTCACACCGTAAAAAATCCGAATCCCAAATTTAAGATTCGCTACGACTAATTTATTGTTATTGCTGTTGTATTGTAGATCTTTTTAATAATATAATTTTAATGGTAAAAAAATCCGAATCACCCTAATATAGCAATTTCTCCTTAACAAAAATACAACAATAGCACACTGCTTTACATCATCATTTTCAGCTCTGAAATTTCTTTTTCAATTTACCATCTAAAATTCAATTTCCAATTAAAACCACCCCACGTCGAGTCCGAGGCGGTTATATATTCAAATGTTTCATCGGAGATCACATCAATTATGGGACACACAACCGTGCGTCGATTTTGCACAATACGTGCCAGCAGCGGCTCCAGCCAACCCTCGGTGCACTCACAATGCGCATCCAGGAATGTGATGACTTCACCCTAGAGGAGAATAAGTGAGAGCAGAAAACAATAACAATAGTGGCCGGCCATATGATAGTGTCGGAATGAAAATCAAATGGAAAAATCATTTTTATTATTATTTGTTATACCGTCACGTGTTCGGCGCCAAGCAAGCGGGCGCGTATTAAACCAGAACGTTTCTCCGTGCGTAACACAAACGTATGCACCGGTAATTTCGCCACGTACTCCTCCAGTTTCTTGCCTAAATAATCTGTCGAAAGGTTGAGATAAAATAAAAATAAATAAAAAAATGTAAAATGAAAAATTGGAGCTTATTGTATGCATATGTAAATATATATAAATCTATCTAATATATTAATAATAATTATAATTAATTGGCGCTTTGTAACCGCTGAAGCGAGCTTCTTCTCCAACTTGTAGTTTTGCGTCTTGATGTTTTTCCAAAAAGAGGAGGGACCTACAGTTTGTACTAAATCGCCTCCGAATGGCTGATGGTTTTTTATGAGGAGCTTTTGATTTTCATGTCAGAAATACATTCGGAGTGGTTGACATTCCCTGCACATAAATTTACTAAGTTGCTTGGCTGTCTCCCGATCGAAAAAATCACAACCAGATCGAACACCGAGGACCTCTACTCATCTACTCCGCCTACTATATAATAGTAGCGAGGATAAGCACCGTCAACAAACACAATAAAAATTTGACGTTAAAAAGCTACAATCAAATAGACAGCCTAATGGGTTTCTACCCGACTTGCACTACCGCTCTCTGAGGGCACTCTTCGGCAACTCACTATACGGAAACTGTGCCGGAGTGGAGAGAAAACAGGCTGCCTCCCAAGAAAGGGTGAGATCGATCACGATACGTGCGGGATGGTATAGATGCCGCGAATTGAAGAGGCAAGCAAGACGCATGGGCAGACAAAAAAGAAACAGGCCGATATGCGTGAGTATGAAAAGTTTTAAAAGGTGACCGAAAATTCTACGAAAAGATACGGCGACTTATAGAAGGTTTCAAGACCGGAGTAAAGCCTTTTAGAGCTCAGAGAGGTGACCTAGAGACTGATCTCCAGATATTGCCGGACGGGCTATTCAAATACGGCGACGACGAACTGATAAGGCGCATTAAACAAAATTTTTTCGGATGCTTTGAAGCGTGCTCTGCGCAATTCACAAAATGATAAGCCTCCTTAATATAAGGCACTAACAAGCGTTTTATCTGAAAGACTAAAACCCACCGTCAACAACATGAATGGATCATAACAGTATGGCTTTAGACCTGGCAATCCACCATGAACCAGCTACTTGCCATCAAACAAATCTTGGAAAAGACCCGTGAAAAAAGGATCGACACACTTTTCCTCGATTTTAAGCCGCAAGGTGCTTCTTCTATGCCGCTATGTCCATCTACCGATGGAACGACATTGACATATTTCAGCGAATCAAGTGAGTGCGGATCTATTGGAAAACTCTGGCTTTGAACGTCGCCGTTGGAGAAGAGCCTGAGTGTACTTGATATATGATCATATGGCGCCAAGCAGCGAAAAGAAGGAATGAATCGCGCGCTGTTGTGAACTCACGTAAGCGGTGCCTACGCCAGTACGGAAGAAGTTACATATGTACATACTCTTATATCGATAAATAATTATGCACAACGAATATTTAATTTAACATTTTGTTATTATTTATGTTCTTTTCTTTAGCATCTGCTCACACTTACCACGCTCACTGGCATCGTCCACAAGGATAATCTCCTTGAGTAGCGTACGCGGCGAGCGGTTGATGACACTCCACACGGTACGCAGCAGCGTTGACCACGCTTCATTGTGGAAAACTATCACAATTGAGGTTGTTGGCAGTTTGGATGGATAATGCTTCTTCTTGCAACTGTAACGAATGAATGCATGACATAAATTGAAAGAAAAAAAAAACTGAAAAAATTGCATATGAAAATACATACATAATAATAAAATAAAATAATGTTATAAAAAATTCCATAGAGCTAAATTAAAAACCATCCACACATTTTTAATATTATTTACTCACTTTTCATGTCGCACATCGGTGAGTGAACGATTCAACGAGATCAGATCGCTGGCTAGTAAATTGAATTGATTCTCTTTGAATTTCTCCTTCATCAGATCCGTCATTTCCGGTGGTATTTTCACTGGTTTACCCAGCTCACCCTGTTTGCCCTTCTCCTCTCTAATCGTTGGTGCAGAATGCCATTTTTTCAATAACGTACTGCGATATGTCATGGAAATACCACCGCCCGCAAAACCACCAGGTCCTTTGCCACCGCCACCGCCAGCACCTGCGCCGTCACCGTCCAAATTCTTTTCTGTGTTAATTTCTCTGTCATCGACCATATTTTGTTCGTCGACAAGCTTTTGTGCATCTGGCACCTGTAAAGTTAGTGAGAGAGCAGAGTGGTTGGATGAAAAGCTATGCCTGTGTGTGTGCGTGTGTGTTTGTGTGTGCGCATAATGAATGCATCGCACTTATGTATGTATGTATATTGGGGAAAAAAGTAGCAATTTCTGTAATGGAAAATTAAATTTAATAAAACATGCATACTTTTTTTTATCAGCACGTATGTGTCCTTTTCACTTTTCGTGTGTGTTGGGAATTAAGTTAAATAAAAAAGCTTATATTGAATCACATGAGATATTCAGAAAGCTGTTTGGTCGCATGCATGTGCATATGGAGCACATCAGCAGCGCTCACTTATAGATTAATATTTTCATATACTCGTAAAGTCGCACAGTATTCTATTGGAGCTTAAAAGGGGAATAAGTTGGAACAATGTTTTTTTGAGAAAAGAGGTTTTCGTTTAAAAAATTTCATATCAGAATTTTTTTCTTGGAAATAATTTGCGGAATAGCTCATTAAAAACCCGAAGAGTGCTCTTGTGCAGCATTTTTGAGGAGTTGCCACCTGTTTTGAGCATAAAATATTATTTAAATATATAATTTAAATATAAGGATTTACGTATTAGTGCTGATATACCTCTCAATACTAGCGAAAATTTTATTGAATCCATGTCACAACAAAAACAAGAGGATCTGAAGAACAAGGTAGGCTGGGCTTTACCGGAAATTAATGTGTGCTTTTGTACAATTTTCACCAAATAATAAATGGATTACAGAAGTGAAGGTCAATTTTAAGAGTTTTTCTCAACGAATTAAAAATATTTATAAAGTTTATTCAAATAAATTGAACAGAGTAGAGCTAGTCATCAGGCAAACCTTCAAGCTACCAGAATATTACAGTATTTTCCAGGACGGGGTCTCCGCTATAGCGCAAGCTACTCAAATATCTTGCAATGCAGGAAACTATTATATATGTATATCAAATATCAACATATACGTCACGTCACATTGCGTGAAATGAAAATGTGCTTATGATCAGGGAAGCAGCACTGCCTACTAGCCTGGTCGCACATACTGTATACTGGATTCCAGGTCACAAGGGTATCATGGGTAACGAAACAGATGATGAGACTGTCAAAAGTACCCTACGCCTTACTAACGAACATTAACGATCGTCGTTAAAAACGATATTCAGTGAAATTTCCGAAAAGGTTAAAAAATCCAACTGGGCCACCGTTGGCTGCGTTGAATCTGTTCCAAAAGAGATTTAATTAAAATCGAGAGGATTCAGTTTGATATTCAGAAATACCGATTTATTTTCTGTCGTATAACTTAGAAAGCATTTGTTGTATTTACTTTAAATTTTTAGATACTCTTCTGAGATATTATACTTTAATACAATAACAGGTGATATCTTTATTTTTAAAGAAATTTTTCAATTAAAAAATCGATGGTTTCGTTACTTGTGTGGCACATCCTGTCAATACCATCCAATTCCGATGCAATAAGGTTCAATGATCTCCTCGAACTATAAACCGGACCAAACAGTTATACGTTGAGGATGGAGAGGCTTTTCAACAATTAATTTTGGGTTTCCCAAGCTCCAGATGTGACAGTAGCCAATGAGGTGGAGATGGGCTTCATCAGTTAAGATGATTTTTCGATGAATTTTAATAATTTCAATTCGTTGTTAATTCAATTATTATTAACTGACATCTGCCGGAATGGCTATTCAAAAAAAAAAAAAAACAAACACCTCTTACTGGGAAACTCTTTATTACGCTTTTAATTTATACTCTTCTTGAGCTCTTACTAGCCCTAAGAGCTTAAAAGCTTTTCGCAGTAGACGTTTTATTTGGGATATATTGGGGAGTTTTTAAGTAAAGATTTTAACAGAAAGGGTTCCGATGTAGCTAAGAAAATAAAACCAGTTAATATTTGGAAAAAATATTCTATCCGATTTAAATCGAGAGCTTGCCAGAAAGGAAATTCTGAAAAAAAATTTTTTAAACTATAATTATTAAAATAATTTATCTCGTTTGAGGTCGCCAATATTATATTGGGTCCCCAAATAATATAATATTTTAAAGGTTAAGGGTGTTTTTTTAGACGTGTGGTTTTCAATAACATAAAACTTTTTTCGGAGTTTGTCTTTTTAGCAGATTTCACTTGATTTATACTCAATTTGGTTTACCGTTTCATAATAAAAGCAGACTTACTCCGGCTCAACGTTTGCAAATCGTTCAAATTTATTACCAAAATAAGAGTTTGGTTCACGCGACGCAACGCACAAAAATTTTGTTTAGCCATGAAGCTCACTTCTGGTTGAATGGGTGTGTTAATAAACAAAATTGTCATGTTTGGAGTGATGATAATCCAAAAGCCATTGTTGAGATGACATTACATCCTCAAAACATCACTGTTCGGTGTGCTCTATAGGCTGAGCGAATCTTTGGTCCATATTTCTTTAAAAACGAAGCCGATCATAACCTTGCAGTCAATGAGGAATGCCATAGAACAGGACTAATAATTTTTTCCTACCTGAATTGCAGAATGTCGTTGTGGACGAACTTTGATTCCAACAAGATGACGCTGCCTGTCGTACAGCCAACGAAAAAGCGACATAATCATTTGGATAGCGCATTATCTAGCTCGTGGGCATAAGATGTGCCTTCCAAGATTGTGCGATTTCACACCGCTGGACTATTTTTTGTGGGGTTACGTGAAGTCGCTTGTCTACGCACATAAGCACGAGACGATTGACGGCTTGGCAGAGAATATTTGGCTTGTTATTGCTTGCGTACGGCCCAAAATGCTGAAAAAGGTGGACGAAACTTGGACCTATCGGTTGGAATTTATTCGAGCCAACCGTGGCAGTCATTTGCCCGAAGTTATTTTTAAAACACAATGGCAAATCTTTATCTTTGTAATAAAGCTAAATTTTGGCTATAACATAAAATTGTATACTCCTTACATGGTTATAGACGCCTTTTTAACAAAAAAAAATTAAAACAAATAATTTTTTTAGAAAGTAAGAATTTTCACTAAGTTCTATTGTAATTTGAAAATAATTATATTTTACAAAAATGTATTTTCCAAGAAGATTCAGGTTACGCTGTGTACTATTTGCTTCCTTCATAATAATATATTAGTTTTATATTATTGGTATTTTATTTTAGTTTTGAAATTTATTTTTGAAAAAAAAAAATAATTAACACGTTTCTTAAAGTTATTTAAAAAAACATGTGTTTATATTCAACCACAGTTTGTTCTGCAGCCAGATGATATGCAACAAATAATGTTTTCTGTAATGAAAATACTACAATATTTATGGTTTGTAAATACAGGTTTACGTTTGTTCATTCATTTGTTTATGTATAAACATACATATGTATGAGCATATATGCATATCCAAATACAGATTATATGTACATACATATATACGAATATTAAAGTCAACGCTTTTCTGAATGAAAAAAAAATGGAAATACAATGCACATGCATATATATACACGTACGTACATATGGATGTGTAGTACGTTTATAAACATGTGCATGCATATGTATGAATGAACGTATATACATTGAAGCTCCTCGTCGGTCGCTGGTCGGTCACATGCGGCTTATAACAATGAGCTTTCTTAGCATGCCAGCGCCGAAGTGCCAGTGACGCCAGCAACGCCAGCAAGACAGCAACAGAGGCTGAGCACAGCTGAGCGGCCTACGCAACACAAACAAATATAAATATACAATACAAACAAACTTTGGAAAAAATCATCGGCAGACAGTGAGGCGCAGGGTGGACAAGCGAAGTGATGAATGAAAAGCACGGCCATTAGTAGTAGAGAGTGGAGTAGTAAGCGAGATGAACGTAGCGCCAAGTACACACAGCAACACAAAGTAAAAGCAGTTAGCAAGACAACCGTAAAATGTTGGCGGAGAGAAAGTGGAGTGCTGTGGAAGATTATGTATTTCTGCTGAGCATGTGCGTACATATATTAGGTGTAGTAAAAAGAAATCCATTACTTTTTCAATAGAAGGCGTTATTAGTCTGCATCTCGCGTTTGTCCGTTGGATTTCGCTAGATAACGTTAGGAAGCTGCCGTTTTGTACTAAAAAATTTTTTTGACAGTTTTGTGATTGGTTGAATCCCTTTTGTTTGAGCGGCTAGAAATGTGAATAGTGTTTATGGTCCTGATACTGTTACAATTAATCATGTACAATTTTGGTTTCGTTCCGGTAATTTTGATATAAAAGATGCTTCACTTTCACTCCAGGAATTGCCAATTGCCAATTGTCGAAGGTGTCGATCAAATTATGAATATTGTCGAGTCCGACCGTCAGTCAAGTAAGCACTGTTTCGATTGCCCAAGAGCTAAGGATTGCACAAAAAACCATTTGGAAACCATTCGAATAAGGCCGGAAACGAAAATGAAAAATTAAAATCTTCAATTTTATGCAAAAATAATGGATTTATTTTTACTACACCTAATATTTACATGAATGCGTGTCCAGGCTTAGAGGCGATATAGTTGAGTGTTGATGCGTTGTTACGTTGCAAGTACGCCGGTTAGTATCTGTGGCAATGCGTGTGCGTGTGTGTGCCACAAAAGCCAAGTTCAACACTGTAATTCTGATTTAAAGCAAGATTTATTGCGTAATTAATTGCAATGGCGGTGGGTTGACTGGCTGGCAACAACAAGACGTACATATGTATATACATACACACATTATATAGGGACATTTGTATGTATAGTGCACTTACTGCAGCAATAGCAACAAAAAAGCAAGCAATTACAACAAAACAATAATAATTATAACAACGCAGACGCCAAATCGGCCACCACAAGTGTAAGGGCAACAACAAGAACAACAAAGCTAGCGAGAGCGATAGTCAAATCAAACCAACAACATACAGTGTTATCGTCGACAATGCCGGCCACGACGTGTTAATTAAAATGTTATACCCCAGAAGAACTAGTGCCTCTCGTCGACCGTCGACACATGCAACAACCACAATAAGTACAACAAAAGTAATAACTATGATGATGACGATATTACGCACACGACGGAAAAGTGTTGGTGAGCATCGGTCACTAGTAAACAAAAAAACAATAAAAAATTTCATATGAAAAAGTGGCGAATAAGTTTCAAGGCTTGCGCTCAACTGGATGTCAAGTTGAGAATTAATGATTTCTCAAGCCTTTTTTTTTTTTGAACAGTTGCCCAAACTATTTTTCGCCACTCGAGGAAGGGTTTGAGATGATTTTGATTACCTATTTGAAGATAAAAGTTTTAAGATTAATGAGAGATGTTAATAGGGGTTAGAGATATTAATGATATTTTTTCGTAGACGTGGGGTTTTTAATGAGGCAGTACTTTTTCGGAGTTGGTCTTCGTGACAGGTGTTACTTGATTTATAATCATTTTGGTTTGTCATTTCACAATGAACAGATTTAAATCAGAACAAAATTTGCGAAAGGTGCAAATTTATTCCCAACTAATGGTTGGCGAGAGCCACCATGGACCGGTTTTCAAGCACGTTTACTCTAGTGGATAATACACATCAGCGAAGACGCTATTGCTGCCTTAGAGTAGAGTAGCGAAGAAGAGCTGTAAGTGCGCGTAATAACTGTATGGTGTGTTCTATAGGCAGAGCGAATCCTTGGTTAATATTTCTTCAAAAATTAGTGAGGACTTCGAGCCGTCTCAATAAGACGGCGCTATATGTCAGACAGTCAATGAAAGAATCAATTTATTGAAGGCAATTTTTGGTGAGTCCGTGCGTGGTCTCCAAGATCGTACGATTTAACAGCTTCGGAATTTTTTTGTAGAGTTATGCGAACTTGGTTGCCTACGCAGATAAGCCCGAGATGATAGACGAATAGAATCAAAAATTATGAATGTCAGCTGGAATTTATTCACTTGCCCGAAATCACTTTTCAAACGTAATGACAAATCCTCTCTTTATAATAAAAAATGAGTTTTTCGCTAAATTTCTGGTTTTTAAATCTATTTCCTAATGGAAGGAGATATTTTCGTCTGTTATAAGTATGAGTTGGACTTCAATTTTGCCATTCACGGTAAGAGAGTTAAAGAAGTGGTCGACAGGCTAACTGTGAATGGCGTTTACGCCTCTCGCGCCTGTGAAATGTTGCTAAATGAAGTACGTAAAGTCAAGTGCTTTCTTCCTCGTAAGCCTGTGCGCCTAGAATAGAGAATCCGTCTTCAATAGGTCGTTCTTTTAGTCGCTTCCAATAGATTTCTTAAAAATATTACCTTAATGTTAAAAATACGAAGTCGAAGCTGTTGACATTCCGAGGAGCAACCGTATTAAGAAATAAATGGCGATTGCTCTAGCCAGTTCTCGAACAACTGACATTGTGGCTCGTAGCACGCACTACTACTCATCCAGCTCCAGCTACTGCGTCTGTCAACGCAATGCACAACGGTATACATGTTTGAACTCCACGGTGAAAATCTGTGCGTATATTTGTACACATAGTCAAGCATAAATTTCCCTGAGCTTGGTCTAGGAAACTTTATAGCCTCACTGTATTTAACTTTTAAACTGAGAGACACATTTATCAACACAGAGGTATATATTGTATATGTATGTACATATTTGTGTAATTTTTCGCACATAAAGTTCATTTGCTACTCACAAATTTGTTACATACATTCATATACACATATATATATATATATATATAATACATATATATATGGGAGAGCATTGTTATGTAACTGTATAAAATATTATACCACTTAATTAAAGCAAAACTAATTTCATTTTGTTATATAATAATTTAAAAGTTTCCACATAGATTTATGTGCATTGCGCAACAACCGACCTGAGTTATGCGGTTAACAACTTTTTTTTTGGCATTTCAGTTGTAATGAAAACTAATTAGTACTTTACTCTCAGCAGTGCAGTGGAGGTGAAGGGAGTGAAAATTAGAATATATTCTGAAAAATACAATTTCATATTTATGTGTCTTTGTATGGAAGGTAGCTGTTTTGTGTTGTTGTTTCAAATATTCTATTCTCTCATTTCAAAAACACCTGTATAAACTGTGGAGTTGGATGTGGCAATATTTCTTTTTGCAGGTGAAAAATTTAAACAACAAATGGAATTTGATGACAATCAAATATTACGTAAGGTAAGCCATTATTTTTGCAATAGACGGCTGCTAGAAAGATGAAATTTTGTATTGAAAAAGATAATGGAAAAAGTGTTGATCAGTTAACTCATTCAGTAGTTTTTGAGTCCGTGTCAAAGATGGACAACAACAAAGAGAAAATGCTTTATATTTTAAAAGTTTACATCGAGAAAGGCGAAAACGCAATCTAGCAACTGAAAATCTGAATCTCCGTTTGTGATCCTGATACTGTAATAGTCAATTTTGCACAAATTCGATTTCGTCGATTTCGTTTAGTAATTTTGATTCCACGGTGAAGGGCCATTTGTCGAAAATATTGATAAAATAATAGAAATCGACGTATCTGACCGTAATGAGAGCACTCTTTCGATTAACCAGGAACTAAAAATTGCACAAAAAACGGGTTGGAATCACCGATTTTTCCTACTCTTGATTCGTAACAAAATCGCACTCATGATGAAAAATTGATCACTTACAGCAACATAAAATGAAAACGATCATGATCGAAGGGTCGGCACACACGGTCTCCAAGACAAGATTGACAGCCAAGCCAGGAAGGTTTTTTGTGTGTTTGGTGGGATTGGCAAGGAATCATGTACTGTGAGCTGCTCTCTTACGACTCTTTTTTGTCAATAGGGGCAAGAGTTTCTATAAGAGAGGCTCTATGACCATTATCTGCACAATGGTAAAAAGTTATCGACCAAAACTATGGTATATAAAGCCTTCAATGAATAAAGAAGTTCACGCAAGTGTGCAAATTTTTTTCTGCCATTCGATTCTTTTACATATCGCTCACGGATTGGGTAGCTAACAATCATCCGTTTGGAGACGAGCAAAAATAAGTTGTGCGTAGTGTTTGGTATCCATCACATAAAACATATGGACGGCAATGGAAAATAATATGTAGATGTAAATATAATTGACTGGAGTTGGGAGCAGGACACACAGTAAGTGAACGCCTCAAATTAGGCGCATACTTTTCTAGCTACCCTGCAGTGAAAAGCTAAAATAGTATTCTACTTCAATATTACATGAAACTGTGAAGCACAAATTTAACATGCATCAATGAACTAGTATGCAGTTGATGCAATTGTGGTACAATTGACACTTCGTAGGATGGAGCTCGGCCGAAAAACATTTTAGCGGTTGTAGAGCGCCAATTATATATATAGAATCTAAAACCTTATTGAGTTTTTCCAATTTTCTTTGAACTGATGCATTTAAACGTTGAAAGTTATTGGCAAAAGTAATATTAAATAAGACGAAGTCAAGGGCAATTATTTAAATTTACCATACCAAGAAGGTCAGAAAAGTCTATTCATGAATTCGCACGATTTGCAAACGCGGTTCCGGAGTAAGCCTGTACATTATGAAATGGCAAACCAAGTTGAGCATAAATCAAATAACAACTGATAAAAAATTCAACTCAGAAAAAAGTATTGCCTCATTGAAAACAACACGTCTATAGGAACACCCTTTATTTAGCTTTGTCATAAGCTCAGTCTAGTCATAGACATTCCTAATGACAGCTTAATCTTTTAGATCATCTGCATATAGAAGAAATTTTGAAGTGGAAAGGAGGTATACGTTATTTCTTACTTTTTAGATCTATCAATCCTACCAGAAGTCTTATAATTTAGAATTTTTTGAAATTTTGCCAATCGCATGCACACACATATCTTAAACGGTATCTCAAAAACTTACCTCCACATCGTACTCTCCCGGCCGTTTACACCGCCAACCATCGCGTCCTATGCAATCCGAATAGTGTGCGAGTAGTACGAAATCGAATATGACCCACACCAGAGACGTGAGCAAGACGATGCGGCAGGTATTGGAGCGCATGCGGCCGCGTAGTTTACGCGTAAACGTTATGGCGGACATATTGTGTTAATATGTATGTTTGTATGGTAGGCGAGGGTGTACAGGTGGTTGTATATGTAAGTTAAACTTGTATTACGTGTGTGTGTTTGCGTTTTTTCTTCAATTTTTTTTTTTTAATCACTGCTTTGCACTTCTTTCCCTCTACAAATTACACTTAATTTCACAACAAAAGATGTTTCACAAAAAAAAAGTGGTTAATTAATTTTAAAAGCACAGCGCACAAAACAAATCATATCAACTAAAAAATGGAGTAAAACAATATGTAATATGAAGTTAAAATAAAATAAAAATAAAAGCTAGAGCGTGTAGAAAACAATTAATAGAGCAAAGTGAAATTAAAACGATTGATTATTGCCATAAATTATATTATTCCGTATGTTGTACTGTTAGTTTTGCTTAAAGCACACGCGTTGGCATTCAACTTGACGTTGGTACGGTAAAGGTGTTTTTGAATTGCGTTGGCGATTGCGACATGCTTTCCGGTGGTTGGTAGGTATTGTAGATAGGTATGAGGTGGCACACAACGTGTTGCTTCTTGATGCGTACCAATGTATGTAAGTATTTACTTGCCGGTATGTATGTACAATATGAATATGTATGTGTGAGTACAATTGGTGGGCGATTGCTGATAACGTTTTTGAGACAAATGATTTTTGTTGTTGTTATTTGTTATCACCAAATGTAGATATGCAGAATTCCTTCCGGTCTAAGATAGCAGTTAAATGATTATAAATTTAATTCTTAGTTATCTGTATTTTTTTGCGCTCTTATATGTATTGTACATGTGTATGTATGTAGTTGTTTGCTTCGTCTTTCTCAATCGTTTTGTTGGCCGTGTGAAAGTGAGCGCATTTAGCTTAAACTTCGCTCGCAATAAATTTGTTTTAGCTAGAAAATGAGAATTTATTACGCTGACGAAAGTAGTTGCTTTTGTTTTGTGTTTAATTTTAAGTTTTATTATTTGTTGTTTGTTTGTTTCTGTCAATACTTATTTAGCAAAGCCTGGGAATTTTTCGTTTGCGTGGCGTTTTGGAGGTTCGCACACGCTGGCATTAACTGCGCGGCGTTGCAGCAGAAACGACAAATAGTGATCGACGGCGGTCGTTTATAGCGGTTTATGGTTGTTTTGAAATATTTTTATTTTTGATTTCGATTTTTTGTTTCTATTTTTTTTAGAATTCTATATTTTTTTGTTTCTATTTTTGCATTTTAATTTTGTACTTCTATTTTCATATTTCATTTTGTTTCTATTTTAATACTTCCTAAATAAAATATTGAAATATTTTTTATTAGTTTTTTACATTTTATCTTCGAAATTAGTCATTATCAATGCGTGTGCACTGCGTATTCTGCTGACCAGTTGACCAGTGCGCTGTGGCTGTGAGTGAGAAAACGGCTGAGAGTAGGTCTTTCGGTCACTGGGTAATACGAGCAGTCTGTCGATGAACGGTTTCTTCTGTGCGTTTCTTTTTATTTTATTTTATATTTATATTAAAATGATTTAGTTTAATTTATATAGTATTCACTTTATTATATATACATACATATGTATATCTATGTATGTACGCACACATGTAGATCAACTCGCTTTGTTTCTCTTTTAACCAACTTCTTTGACGTTTATTACATATTGGTAACACATTTAATGTCTATCCGTTCCGTCGTTTGTCGTTAACACACTCGTCACTCGTCGTTTTTCAAGCGTGTAATCGTTGTTTTAACATTACGGAATATTGAATTGCAAATGACGAAGAAATATGGTTTTCAATCTACTATACAAGGGAAGTGGTATTGGCGTAATCTGGGTTCATTTAGTCTTGCTGTTGTTGTTGTTGTTGTAGTTGGAAGGCCTTGAAAATCACTTGTCTCGTCTCGCTTAACTGGAAAAAGAAGTAAGAGAAACAAAGTGTGAAAGAAAGCCTTAATGAATGTCAGTTAATAGAAATAAATAAATACTATATATAATATATTTACATATATATATCTACACAACTGTGTCTGTAAGTGGTTGGTATAAGTAAATAACTCAATACGCAAATAGGAAAACCATTTTTTATTTGTTTTACTTCTGTGGCCTTCGACAAAACAAATCGCTCAAGCGTACGTACATACATATGTATGCGAGCTTGATCTCATTTCTTTTGATTTATCTTCGTTATTTTTTTATTTATTTTTTTTTTTGAGAATTGTCAATGAAATCGAAAGCATGAACTAATTTTTAGAAGCTCATTAATCATTTCAATTATAAATATTTCTATGAGTGAGAAGTTTTGTAATTGCAAAAAAAAAGAATATAAATGTGCAAACAAATAATTTTTTAATAATAAATAAAACGTAAAGATGGGAGTAGCCCTTAAAAATACAACCTTTCTGCAAAAATTCAGTTGGACTGAACTATAAACATAATTTTAATAACAATTTCTTTCCAACAAGATTTCTATCAGGTTCTTTAAAAAAATCTCACGTAAATCGAACCATAAATACAATAGTTTCGAAATGGACGGTCCCTGGTGCATTTACCAATACAAAAGGTCAAGCTTATGATAATTGAAGCAATAGAGTACCAACGCTTAAAGTTTCAAATAAATCAAACAAAACTTCGTTCAAAAACTCTTCTTGTTTGGCGGGAGGACCAAACCGAATTGTTGCGAATCATCCAAATCGGTCCAGTCGTTCTCAAGTTATAAGCATATCAACTAACATGAGTCTCTTTTACATATATAGAAGATTTCATAAATATCAAACAATAGCTTCCTTTTAGTTAGAATCAAAGTTGTCTAAGTATTTCGTAAAGGAGGAAAATGGAAAGGCTTGCCAGCTCAGGGAACGTTCTCATACTACAACTTTTTACCCCTACTCTTGTGGCTTTATGACGGGCCACAATCTACTGGCTTCCCAGGTAAGCAGATTGAGTATTAGTAGCAGTGACACATGTAAGAAGTACAGGGAAGAAGGCAAGAGTGAGACGTTAGAGCACCTACTCTGCTTCTGTCCGACTTTAGCTGGAGCTCGGATTACATATCTCGTAGCTCAGCAGTTAAAATGACTAGAGATGGCTTTAAAATTGGATACTAATGCTACTAATGCTAGGTTAACACTTTTTTTTTTGATACAATTACCGACCGACGTTGTTGCAATTAAATTGAAAAATATAAGGGGTGAAAATAAAATTCGAGAGGACGTAGCACCAAGACGTAGCATCAATTGTGGGTCAAAAAGTATATTTCAGAAAACACCGAACAGGGTACTTATAATTCTTATGATCTAGTAAGAAAACGAACTGAATGTGAACGTGATCGAGCAACAACTACGATTTTGTCTGTATAATGTTTACTTTCCCTCCCCCGCTTAACTCAAGATCGCATATTTAAGGCAGCAAAGAAGAACTATCTATCTTCATGGCCAAAACAAATTTAAGATATTTTATTTAATTAAAGATTAAATATTAATTTTCATATCTGAAGAATTGGTTGGAGTGAAACCACATTTAATGCACTTAGGTGATTTTTTTGACAAATTTATACCCCAAAATCTATAAAGTGTAAAATCTGTCGTGTATGTGCTATAACGGTCCAATCTGGTTGAAGCAAATATATATAAAAGAAATTTTCAGATATTTTTTTGACAGCGATTAATATATTTTTCATGTATTTACTTCCACAAAAACAACAATTTTTTTCGCTTTATTCATACCAGTGTAAATTTCGGAATGTTTTGCTTCAACTCAAGCAGCATTGATAGCGAAATAGTAAATTGATAAGCTATTTATTTATTAGGTGAAATAAATATCCATATTACCAATTATTGATTAAAAATATTATATAAAATGTATATTTTATTAAATTTATAATCGTGAAGGCGCTTTTCGGATGGTAAGTCTTTGCGGAAGGTAATTTGGAAAATTAATTGAGAATACGAATATCTTATGTTAAGAGTTTCTGTAGTTGAAAATTCGTCAAGGGAAAGTATAGTAAATTAAAGATATTCGTATGAACATGTGTATAAGTACTTGAAAAAAGATTGAAATCTCTAGAGCGAAATTGAATTATTGAAAAACCCACGAGTGCGATTGATAACATAAAAAAGTGTTGGCTTCAGTAGTATTAAAATTTAAAAAAAAAAAAAAATTTANATTAAAAAATATTAATTAATATTAATAATAATAATAATAATAATAATAACAATAAAAATAGTAATAATAATAATAAAGATTTTGTAGCTGAAACAAGTAAGAGCAGAGCAGTCTACGGCCACAATCATATTAAAATTAAAAATTATGATATTTTAATTAGGGATTAAATATTAACTTGCATGTCTGAAAAGTAGTAGAATGGGAGGTACGATTGTGTATGTGTATGATATAGTCCTCCGATTTCGATGATTACCAGCATAAATGTGCAATTCACATTTTTTCAAAAGTGACAAATCTCGTGTGACTTGTGTCAAGCTATCACTCTATTTTTGTTCGGTATTGTTTGGCATTTCCTTATGGAAAGACTTACCCCCGAACAACGTTTACAAATCGTGCAACTTCATTATGAAAACTCAAGTTCTGTAAAGAATATGTTTCGCGCGCTTGCCTCAAATTATGGCCAACATAATCGGCCTACTGAGCGTGCCACTCGCAACACTATCACCCGTTTAGATATCCAGCATTCATGCGCGCAGTGAAGAAAATATGACGGCCATAGCTGAGAGTGTACACGAAGACCGTGGAGAGTTGATTCATCGCTGTTCTCAACAACTCGGACTGACGTATGGAACGTCTTGGCGCATTTTATGTCGAGATCTTAAATTGAAAGCGTACAAAATATAGCTTGTACAAGGATCGCTCGCTCTGTGGGCTCTGTTCAACGATGCGGCCGATTTCTGACTCAATTTGTATTGTAAACAAGTAAAATGCCCACATTTGGGACGAAAAGCAATTCTAAGAGCTGCCATTTCATCCAGATAGAACAACGGTTTGGTGGGGTATGTGCGCCGCTGGAATCAACGGTTCATATTTGTTCAAAAACGATGCCGGTGAGAATGTAATCGTCAATGGTGACATCGCGTCATGATAACCGTCTATTTGATGCCTGAAATTGAAATTCGTGATCTCGGCAACATTTCATTTCAACAAGACGTCACTCTTCACAAATCACTTCAATCAATAGATCTCAAGATCGTGGGATATCCCACCGTTAGACGTTTTCCTATGGGGACAATCCCGCTTCGATTCAGGTTTTGCAGCAGAACATCACGCGTGTCATCGAAAACTGAACTCAATGTCTAGACCATCTGAGACGTAGCCGCGGCCAACATTTTACAGTGATAATCTTCAAGACATAAATAATGCCCCATTAAACCTCGAAATGGATCACCATTTATGTGTTTAGAACACCAAGTCTAACGTCATTAGATGTTTTTTTTACGGATTTATGATCCAAAATCTCATACCTCGTATATACATACATATGTTATGGTGGTTCGATCTGGTCGGTTTCGGTGTTTTTGTATACCAAGTTTGATTGAATTATTTCAAAAACTGCAGGACTAGTTTGCGTAAAAACAGATGGACAGAATAGCAGACGGACAACTCGTCATATTGATCCGATCGATATGAATTTTGATGGGTCGATCTCCTCCCCTTCAGGTAATTATATATTTGTAAATATGTTAGTATTAAAAGGCGTTATAGAAACAGAATTGAAAATCAATATCTGTTTGAAATGGTGTTATGAAACCGACTTGATTTTGCATTTTTCGAAAATAAGCAAAACCAATATTCGAATCAGCTGTCATCGCACTTGTGTAATAAAACCCACTTAATTTTTGTACTGGTATTAACACATTTGAGGTTATTGAAAATAAAATTACTTCGGCAGAGGTAACATTTTTGATGGTAGAGGATATCGAGAAATAATCCAGCAAATAAAGCGCAATCCGCTGGAGCTGCCAGAATCGATGTAAGTGCAATTTGCATTTTATTTTTACATTTGTTGATACAAAATTTGTTTGTATTTAGATTAATAGACCAATATAATCTTAATAATGAAGCCTTTGTAATAGTGTTGGATATCATTGAAGACCAGTTAGATAGGCTGTCTATCCCATATGTGCTCCGACTTGCATTCACACTGCGGTTTTTGGCAGAAGGCTCCTATCAACAGTCTCCTTAGCGCGACCTACAGTCTCGATGGTTATAACAGAAATATTTATGGCC